TTGAAGGAGAATGGAAATTTCGAGGAAATGATATTGATTCTTTGCAATGTCAATCAATGGGTATTGAAAATTTAATTTCTGCATGTCATGATATTATGAAAAGAACACAGGAAATAATAAAATTAAAACAACAGGAACAACGAATGTCTTTCATAAATTGTGAATTATGGTCATTAATAAGACTTGATACTTTTAATACATTGACAGATGCTGATCGTGCTGTTTTAAATCGTGCTCATATATTTGATCTAATGACAATTGTTTTTGAAGCAGCATCAACAAGTAAATCAATATCTCAACTTGTTCGTGTTTGGCGTGAAGCTTCTGAACATATCAAACAAAATTCTGTATCTACATCTCTTAATCAATTTAAAATATCCTATGAAAATGCTTTTCGACATTTAACTCATGCACCGGAAAATTCTATTCTTCAAATTACAGTTCATGCATCTCTATTAAATGGTTACAGTCGAATGAATTTACAAGATTTAGGTGAAAAATTAGGTATTAGAAGAAGTCAATTTGATATGGGTTCAATTAGAGATTCCACACAAAATTTTCAAGATTTAATTAAAGTATTACGTGAACAAAGATTAAAACAAGAACGTGAACAACAAGCAGTTGACACTAATAAATTACCATATAGACCAAGAAAAAAACGTGGTCTAAATGCGAATGTTTCTGGTACAAAATTTTCAGGTGGTATGTTATTTTTATTTATAACATTTCAAGTGCTTCTTTTTCATAATTCAAAAGACAACTTGAGAAGAGTATTTTCTTTTTTCATAGATGATACCTTAACTTATAAAAGAAAAAGTCAATATGAAACACATATAAATTCTTTATTTTTATTTTAGTTCGTTTAGCTGCAGATGTTTTTGGTTTTGCTATAAGTTCTGAAACTGATTTTACTTGTAATCTTATATGGAATGATACATTAATATCTATGGATATTGTATCGTCACTTAAACCTTATCAAAAAATCAATCATTTTCCAACGATGAGTGAAATTTCACGTAAAGATTTATTAGCCAGAAATTTTGACAAGTAAATTTCAATTATTTTCTTCATTTATTCTATTTCTATCTATTATAGATTATCACGTATTCTACCAGATGAATATAATTATACACCACGGACATGGATATTACCAAATGAATATAATATATGGTATTCATATGCATCAAGTAAATCGAAAAAAGATCCACCTGCTTATATTCTTAAACCAAATAATGGTGCAATGGGTCATGGGTAATCTAGAATTTATTGAAATATTTAATTTTTAATTATTATTATTGGATATAGAATTCAAGTTTGTTGTGATTATGAACGAATTCAACCAATGGATAATTATATTATTCAAGAATATGTTCAAGAACCTTATCTTCTTGATGGTTTTAAATTTGGTAAAATCATTTTCATTTTTTATTATTTATCTAATATCTATATTTAATTAAAATTAGATCTTCGAATTTATGCATTAGTAACATCATGTGATCCACTTCGTATGTTTATTTTTAATAATGGTCTTGTACGAATGAGTACGGAAAAATATGAAGCACCTAGTCGAAAAAATGCTGTAGATTTATTCTAAATAATTTTAATTCAAAAAAAATTCTCTTATTTTTTAGTCTCATCTTTATATGCATTTAACAAATTATTCAGTAAATAAATATAATGTCGATTACGAAGTAAGTAAATCAAGTAAAAATGCGGAAAATACTGGAAGTAAACGTTCATTAAAATATTTATTTGAATATTTACGAACACGAAATCAAGATGCAACTAAACTATGGAAAGATATACAAGTAAAATTTGAATCTATATATATATTTTTTGAAAATGTAAATTATTTAAGAATATCGTAATAAAAACAGTATTTCTTGCTCAACCACATTTATTTTCGGCTTATCGAATGTGTCGTCCCGGTGCCTCACCATCAAGTGAAAGTGTTTGTTTTGAATTACTTGGTTTTGATATATTAATTGATAAAACATTAAAACCATGGGTACTTGAAGTATGTGTTTTGGTTTTTGTGTAAAAATTATGTTATATGAAATTGATTGTTATAGGTTAATCGTTGTCCAAGTTTTGGTACAAATGAACAAATTGATTTTGATATAAAAATGAAATTATTACTTGATACATTTGAATTACTTCGTTTTCGTACATCAGATAGAAAAAAAAGTTTTGCATCTGAAAAAGCTGAAGCACAACGTCGTTTATATACAAATCAGGGTAAAACTAGTCGTTTAGTTGATGATACAACAACTTTACTTTCTACTGGAACTTATGGAGATCTTCGAAATCGACAAAAAAAACTTACGGATATTGTATGTAAACATCGTGGATTTAAAACCTTTCTATGTTTTTTTCTGTTTTCATAGAAAGAAAAATTATATCTTCTTCATCGTGAAACAGCTCGTGAAACATTTGAAAATCGTCATTTAGGAGATTTTATACGTTTATTTCCTGTTGAAGATAGTATTCGTATGAATGAATTAATGAGTTTATTAACGAAATGTTTTGATGTATTATATGTTAACAAAAAAGATCTTTCATGGAGTAATAAATATTATAATCGATATAAAGAAGATGAATTATTAGATCAACTAGCTGAACTTGAAGATCAGGAACAAAATGATATGAAAAGAAATTCTCGTTTAGCTTTTGTAAGTTTTATTTTTCAAATCAAAAAAACCAAAACATCAAATTTATTTTTCTAACCTATTGAAATTGAAAGATCGATGAGAAAAAATTTCTACTCACGATCCTTTCATTCTTGTTGATCAATTATTAATTTTAATAAAGTAAGTTTTACTCAAATGCTGCACTATTTATTATCACACTTTTGTGCTCACTAATATTCGTTAAATCATGTCGTTCCCATTATATATATATATTATATTTCTGCACACAATTTTGATTTTAATTTCCTTAAATATATTATTCAATTTTGTTTTGTTAATTTAGACAACAAATAATAATCCTGTAATAGATCGTGCATCTCCATCGGCTAGTTTTGCATCAGAATTAAGTGATAATGATGAGGATGAAGATAATGATAGCAATGAACATCGATCAAATACACCACCAACACTGTCTGATTCAATTAGTAAAACATCAGCATCAACACCTATTGCGAAACCAAATAATTCTTTAATAAAACGATATGCTTCACAATCTCGTACAGATTTTTCTTCGACATCAATATCACCATTATTTCCACGAAAACAACGTCAAACACAATTAATTTCAACAAATCTTCTTCCATCTAATACGAAATCAACTGACAAAAAATTAAGTTCAAATTCATCAAATCAAAGTTCTGATTTACCACTACGATTAACATCTAGAGCAGTAAATAATAAATTTCAAACAATTACATATACAACAATTATTCAAACACCAAGAAGACAATCAAATTTACGATCAACATCAATGAATTTACCTAAAGTTAGAAAAATTCTTTTTTATAGAAATTAATTAAAATATTTTTTTTTTCGTTTAGGAATTACAATTAAGTGATAGTGAATTGACTCGTTTTTATCAATCAATACTTGAACAAATGCATCAATTATGTATTCGATATCCAAATAAAACTGCTGATGAAACACGACAAATTTGTAATGAAGTTATTGAAAATTGGAAAAAGTATCGAACGTCATTAGGACAATTTTGGTTAGCAAAATTAGATACAAAAAAAAGACAAGCTATTTTAAGAATTGTTTGGAATAATGTACAACAAATAATCAAACAAATATGGACGATTGATGAATCTGTTGAAAATTTATCATTAAGTAAACATTTTGCAAAATTAGAACAACGTCTATTAACAAATAATGGACAATGTTTATGGGATATTTGTCAAAATAAACAGAAGTATTTTCTAAAAACAAAGAAAATCTTTTTTTAATCTCTATTCTATTTTAGTTCATGGTCTATATCATTGCTTATTAATACACATCGTTTATCAACAGTTGAATTATCATGTTGTACACGTTTTGTTGAATTATGTAAACAAGCTTTATTTGTTGTCTATCGTTATTCAATCGATGAAAATAATGAAAAACAACGACAACAACAAACAGAAGGAGCAACAGTAGCAGTTGTTGGTTAAATATTTTATATGAATTATTATTTTTTTCTATTTATGATACAAAAATGGTTTTTATCCGGTGGTTTATTTTTTATTCGAGATATATAGATATTTAATTAACAATGCATGGAAATTATTTTATGGCATGAAAAAAGTACATATCGAATTTTACGAAATTTTTTTCTGAATGTATAGATTTTAATAGAAAAAAAACGAAATAATAAATCTCAAGTGAATATAAGAAAAAATATTTTGTACATCATTCTAGATTATGTAACTCGATAAAACATGTCACATTTATAAATATGTTGTTAAATATAGAAAATAATTTCTATAAATATCTTCTATACATTACTCATCGTTACTAAATATATATATACATAAAATATTTTTAGCCAAAGTAATTATTTTGACAATTAGTCAAGGACTATTTCTTAGATAACATCTACCGTAACGAACAGTCGTTTGACTCTATTGAATTAAATAAATGAATTTGAAATTGATATAATGAAATATCATTGTCGGAATATTTTTGCCTTATAGTTTCTTTTCTTTTTTTTTTGTTAATATAAATCATGATATAATCTGGCATATAATATCGATTTTTACAAATCAAGCGTATCGTACTTGATCTGACTTTAACTTTGCCCATCGGTCAAATTAGAAAGGAAAAAAAAAGCCACATATATAATCGGTTATCGTTCAATCAATATTCACCTTGATATTCTGTTGCTTGAACGAGAGAATAGGATTTCTATCTTTCATAAGTTATATATATATATTACATAAATACTTCACCTTTTCATTCATTTGAAATATTCTAAACAGAAGAAAAAAAAGTCCGAAGTTCATATCTATCTGCAATGTATGATTACCATCATGTAGATCCATTTATTCTTTCAAGTTCATGTCCACAATCTTCTTCGCTTGTTACTTGTGCACATCGTATCGGTGGAATAATTGATCCAGATTTTTTACTTCAATGTCAAATAATAGACAAAAATTTCGAAAAAAAAATCAATCAATTAAAACAAATTCCAATAAAATATGATTTATTACCATTAAATAATAATAATAATGAATATCAAGAAGATCTTTTTCTTGATATAGGTATACCATATAAAAAACATTTTTTTAATTCATTGGAATTTAAACAATATAATTCATGGTTAATTGATGAAAATCAATGGAATATACCATATACTATCAATGACGATCTTATTATTTGAATAAACTATTAAAAAAAAAATATTTCTTTTTAAATATTCTTATTATATAGATGACCTTTTTTTTGTTGTATTTACCTTGAAATAAAGAAAATCTAATCCTTGAACGATAGAACATGTCTTATTACGGTCTGCATGTTTTTGAATCGACAATACTTCAAAAGCTTCTTTTTTTTTCTCTACGTTTTTTTCTTCTTTCTCCTCCCTCTCTCTCTCTCTCTTTCGTACAACATAAAGTGACATGCTTGAATAAGCACTATACATGTAATTTATTCGCTTTCGGGTTTTTTTGCTTCATATAACTCGTCACACATCTACATTTATACAAACCACAAAATACATAATGTCGTTGAATGAGCTTGTTGATATGTATAACCAAAAGTTAAATTATAATGGTAGTCGATCAACAATTGCAACTGATCCATCACATCGTACACCTCAATCAACATTTACAATGAATACTGGATATGATTCTTCTATGGCTGATTCAAGAAGTGCAATGATGACAGATAATAATAATAATAATTTAACTTTTACACAGAATGCATCATCAACATTAATATTTGATTCGGATACATCACGTTTTGATTTAAATGATCGTGTACTTGCTGGTGAAGTTGTTCGACCACCTCCACATAATAATCAGCCACGTATTGAACGTATTAAATTTGCTGATAAACTTGTATTTTCATCAGGTGAAGCTGAAATAGATGATTATGAAAATAATGAAGAATATAACACAAAATATCCCGATATCAAACCTCAATTAAATATAATTAATGCCCAACAAGCACAAATACCGCCTGTTGATATGTTTACTAATCCAGGCGAACAAATTCAACGTTTAATTCAACAAGGAAAATTAAAAAATTTTCATGGGTAAAAAAAAGTAATTAATATTTCTTGTGAAAAAACAAATCTTCTTGCTCTTTAGTTATATTAATTATCCATATAATTATCTGGAACCTCCATGGCATTTTACTGAAATTGAAGATCAACAAGGTTATGTTAATCATAATCCACCTCGATCACATTTAACAGCTGATGATATAGAAAATAATACAGTTGACGATACGTTAGATATTCAATTACCTAGTGGAGTTCCTCAAGAACCTATTTCACAAGATCGTTATGAAATAATTCCATTACCTAAAATGGTTTATGAAAATTATGTTCCATTGATTGCAACACGTCGAATTGTTTATCGTCGACCACAATCAAATCGTGCGTCTACTGATTTAACTTCTCAACAAACACAAAATTCTTCTTTTACCGCTTCGAAACTACCTCAAGTCGATGAAATGACATATAAATTCTAATAGAAAAAATATAAAGAAAAAAAAAACAACACATTTTTATTGTCGAATTTTTTTTAAAAACATTGTCTTTTCTTTTGCTATATGTTCAATCGGTAAAAGTAATTCATTTATCATATCTTTCGCTGGTTTTGCACATTCTTCTGCTTCAATGACAAATAATATTTGATTAAGTATAGTCAAATAACAATAAATTTCTAATAAATTCCATTCATCTTCTGTTAATAACATTTGCCTTTCATTTTGATAAAGAATTAGAAATTCTTTTGCATAATCAAAATTAAATTCCGAACCAATTCCACACCATAAACATAAGGTCATAGATAAATCAGTTAATAATGGACCAATATACATATCATCAAAATCAAGTATAGCAACAAGTTTATTATCATTTTCAGAAAAAAGTACATTATCATCATGAATATCTGCATGAATATAACCAATAGGCAATCGTTTTTCAAGATTTTCTTTAAAAATTTCTTGTTGATTTTTATCCGAAATTAAAGGAATTGATTGCGTATGATAATCAGTTATAATACGTATTCTTTTATATAAATCTGGATATTCATTTTGAAAATTTTCACATGAATGAACAAGTTTATATTTAACATTAATAAAATTAATTGAACATCGATTCGATGAAATAAGTTTGAATTGATGTGTTTTAATATTTGAATGCATTCGACCGAGAAATCGACTAATTTCTAATGTTTGCCATAATTGTCGAACAGGTGTTTTTGGTGTATCTAAATATTTAATTCCTTGAATAAATGGAAAAATAGCACAATAATTTTCATCATTATCTTTCAATGTAAAAATTCCAGGTGGATCAATCATTGGTGCAACAGGCAAATGAAGTTCATTATAGAGATAAGCAATAAAATTTAATTCAAATTTTATATTTTCAAGTGATAATTTTCGTAATGGACCTGGAAGATATTTACGAAGAATATAAATATTTTCATGAGGTGATTTTGTACGAATTTTAATTGTTAAATTTGTCCAACCATTTGTTAATCTTTCAATCGGTACGATAAGTTCACCTAATGAATATTTACTTAATATTAAACTAAGTTGATGAACATTTATAATATCATCGGTCATTTTCAATCTATCACTAAAATGTTGTAATTACACGTCTGTCTGATATTTTACAATGATAATAAATTATCATTCGTCAACTTCAATATTTATCAACTTGACAAAACATATACTTTATTTTACTGTGTATATATATACTCCAATCTATTGCATCGCAGCGACATCTATTTCAATAGTTTTATTTTAAAAATTAAATTTAAAATTTGTTTCGAAAATAAAATATTTTCTTTTTTTAAAATCAAAATAAATATTGATTACGTATAAATATTGACTGTATGGAATTATAATGAGTCATTCGCTTTTTTTTGTGTCGTTTTTTTCAATTGTGCTCTTTTTTTTCTCTCTTATGTGTATGCACTTTTTTGAATAAATAATCAAATCAATGACGAATACAGATGATCCTTATCAATTTGCCATGAATGAATCAATCTCCGATAGATCTCGTACGCGAAGTTCAAGTCGTAATCGAAAACCTACTTCAAGGAATGTGTCAAAACCTAATCAACAACGTATTGTTACGCGTTCTTCTCAAAAAACTCCTTTAACACCAATGACCGATGAAAATGATAATTCGTTTATGTCAAATATTCATTCAGGTTTCTCTCAATTTGTTAATCCAAAAAAACGACAACGTGATGACAAAAAAACTAAAACATTAAAACGACCTAAAAGTACGTTTTTTTTCTCAAAATATTTGATTTTTTTAAATTTCTTATATTCTAGTTACAACAGATAATGATGAAAATCAATCACCAAATGAAGAAATACAAGCAATTGATCAAGTTAAACTTATCTATGAAACAAATGGTATATTTTTTTGTTAAATCTTTATTTTAAATAAAAAATGTTCTTTAGGTGGTCGTACAAATCTTGCTCGAGCTGCAGCAACAAATGCTCAAATTCTTGCTAATAGAAATCCATCAAATGCAACTTTTACTTTAAATGTTCATAATCATATTATTGATGATACACAAATAGATACATTAGCTATTCCAGATACATTGGCTGATATGAATACTCAACATAATGATAGTTCTTGGCAAAGAGATATTGATCGATTGATGAAAAAACTTGAAGAACCATCAACTTCTTCGAAATTACAAACACAAATTGAAGAAACTCAAAAAGAAGATGATGAAGAAGAAGAAGAAATTAGATCTGGTCCGATTTATATTTCACAAACAGGAAAAACTCAACAACGATTCATTCGAACAGACAAAACTCAAACACAGCCAATACTACTTCCGCCACCACCACCACCAGCACCTTCAACAACAACAGTAACAACGTCAGTTACTCAAATGAATGAAATTGCAATACAAACTGAAAATAGTCAGAATCTATCATCTATGCATGCTTGCTGTCAAGATGTTTCAACTTGTCCGTGTGTTCTCGTAAGTTAAATATCAAAACAAAATATAGTTTTCTTTATTTATTTTATCTTATTTTAGCGATATAGCAAATTAGAACGTTTATTTATGGAAAAAATGTCTCGTTTTATAAGCATTGTTCCAACAATACCACCAAATCCAGAAGCACCAATAATGATGTCAGATACTCATCCTAAACGTCGACCATTACAACATTATCCACGATTTCGACGTTTTCGTGGTCGTCGTAAAATAAATCATCGAATGGTTATACCTTCTGTACATAATAATGAATCAACTACAGTTGAAGAAACAACGTCGGATGAAGTAAAACTTATTATTTATTGTTTTTTTCTTAGTATTTCAATTTTTATTTTCTATTTAGACAATGAATGAAATAGATAATCAAGCACAAGAAAATGTTGATCAAACTGAAGTTGATGCTTCAAATATAACAATAAATCCGATAGAAAATATAGCTTCAACAACAATAACAATAGAAAAAAATGTTGAACCAATAAATGATTTATCTGCAATTGAAAAACTTGAAACAACTACAATAATTGATCATCCATCAACACTTTTAATACCATCTGAGAATAATAGTTGTTTAACTGGTCGACACTTAGTTTTAACAACATCATCACTTGATGAAACTCAAAAAGTATAAATTAAAACTTGTTTTACTTTATCTTTATAAATACTTTATTTAGTCTCAATTTCGTTTATTTACTAATCGTTTCAATGTTTCAACAAGTTCAACAGTTGATTCTTCAACAACTCATATAATCGTAAATGATAATTCTCAACTTGTTTGTCCATTAACTGGAAAAATAATTCAAGGAATTGCTCGTCATTTATTTATTGTTTCATATCGTTGGTTAAATGAATCATTATCGCAAGAAACAATTGTTGATGAACGTCCATATGAAATACGTGGTGATACAAGTTTAGGTGTTGATCATGGTGGAATGCGTCGTTCACGTTTAACACCTTCATATCTATTTACAGATTATTCAATATGTTTACGTTGTTCACCAAATGATTGTGCGCCATTACAAACAATTGAACAAGTTCAAGAATTAATTGAATTATGTGGAGCTAAATTAGTTCGAAATTTTAGTGAAATAAGAACACTTGATAAAGATAGACAAATGATTCTTGTTCTTGGAATAAATGGAGCATGTGGAGGAGAAAAAAAACGTAAAGCAATTTTAGATACATGTCAACAATTTAATGTTCGATGTGTTAATATTCATTGGTTACTCATTTCAATTGCCAAATTTGAAGTACAACCATTGGATAATTATGATATTAATCAAGTTTGATTCTTTTTTTTTCTCGGAGATTTTCAATCTATTTAGGATATATATATATACATACATATTAAACATGCATTAGTTTTGTTTTTTTTTGTGAAAAAAAAGAATTTATTTTTGATGTAAACATTATTAAAGATTTTGTAAAGATATTTTTTGTCAGATATTCATCAATCGAAATAAAAATTTCTATTAACCAATATAAATATATACGCACTTTTTATTCTTCAGATATGGATGCAGCTATTGAGCAATATGCTCCTAGTGAAACTCTAAATGATACTGAAACAGTATCATTATCATTACCTTATGCTGTTCATGCATCTTGTCTTCATATGCAAGTTCGTTCTGGTTCGAAAACAAAAAATTTAGTTCAATTTGCTATGCGAAAATTATTTCCAACTGATCAGAATGCAATAAATGTTGAACAAATAACATGGAATGCATTTGGCGATGGCATATCAAAAGCTATTGCTTGTGCTGAATTAACTAAACGACGTTCCCAACTAAATTTCTATGAATACATTCAAATTGGTTATAAACGTATTGAACAAATTTGGCGACCAGTTAATTCAAATGTTGAATTAGATACATTAAAAGTCAATAAAGATATTCCATCTATTTGTATTCTACTTTCAAAAAATCCTTTATTTAAATTAACTGAAGGAGATAATTAATTTATTTTAGATAGAAAAAAAACCAAATAAATTCTTTCTTATTTTTATTTTTCCACATTATGTCAAGTATTGCATTAATTTTCGATGTGATATTTTCCTGTTTAATAACATTAACTTTTCTTTACCGTTGTGGAAATTACCGTCGACAACATCCAATAACAACAGGAGCAGTTTTTATTTCATGGTCATTTTCAGTTCTTTTTATTTTTCTTTTACCGTTGGATATATCATTAGTAATTATTCGGAAACTTTTTTGCTTTGAAATAATTTAGAACAATTTGTTTTTTATTAAGGCAGCTTATCGAGAATGTCAATCACAAAATATATCAACAATATCAACGACAACAATTAGTCCGGATAATTTAAATTTAGTAAAATAGATTTTTTGTTTGATTTTGTAAAATATTCATAAATAATATTTTTAGAGTAATACAATTGAAAAATCATGTCCTCGCCCATGGTCATATGTAAATCCGAGATCTTATGAAGTTTTATGGCGAATTATTTATTGGACATCACAATGTCTTACTTGGTATATATAATAATCGATAATAAAAGAAAAGATCTTTATTTATTTGATTTTTTAAGGTTTATTTTACCGTTTATGCAGTCGATCTGTCAAACAGGTATTTTATTCTAAAATTGTCTTTACTTTTATTGATTTTTACGAATATTCTAGGAGAATTTTATTGGAAAGGAAAGATTCGATTTGCACTTCGATCAAATTTAATTTATTATGGAACACTTTTACTTATATTCGGAATACTTGTTATTTATGTTGCTGTGAATTATAATTTAAGTGCATCAAATTTTAAAGTAAATAATCGAAATTAATTTATTTAACTTGAAAACAATCTATTTTTTAGGTAACTGTTATAGCAGCAAGTACAACTTGGGGTCTTTTTCTTCTTGTTTTAATGCTTGGTTATGGTCTTGTTGAAGTACCATTAAATGTATATAATCATTCTCGAACTTCATACGTTCTTTCACATATTCAATTTAATTTATCTAAACTTTATAATGAAAAAATTGATATTGAAGAACGTTTAGAATCTCTTGTTGAAGATATATCAAAATTATGTTTACAAATCAAATATAATGATTCATTGCGACCATGTTTAGAAGAAATTGTTCGAATTATTCCGGAACAATATTCTAATCGAGTTAAATTAACTATGGATGATTATGAAGATTATCGAGCAACAACAACAACAAATAATTTAATTGATTTACCAACTGAAAAACAATTAATTAAATTACATGGACTTATAAAAAAAAGTAAACATATTCATCATCGTGTACAAGCTTCATGGGTACAAATGATTAATCAAGCTTTTTATTTGGAAGATATTTTAAATAATGAAAATAATTCAAATCGTTCATTTGTTAAACAAAGTCCATTGCCAAGATCATGGTTACGACAAAAATTATTTGATGAACATCCAGTTCTAGGTAAAAATAGATCGATTATTTAAATTAGAATGATATGTCACTATGAGTTATTATTTCTATATTATAGAATGGTATACATTTTGTTTTCTACGTCCATGGGCTCTTCGTTTTCTTGGCGTTGGACTAGGTATCATATCACTGGTCGTTATTTGGTCTGAAATGACATTTTTCAGTACCAGTCCTGTTTTATCTATTTTTGCTCGAATTGTTAATGTAGCTCGTCATCATTATGATTATTTTACTATTGAAGTAAGATTAAATTTATAATTCTTTGTTTTTTTAAATATTTTTTCTCTACTTAATTATAGATATTCTGTTGTTTAAGTCTTGCTTATTTATGTTTATGTGCATATTATACAATATTTCGTATGCGTATATTTAATTATTTTTATTTATCACTTTATCATTTAACGGACGAAAATAGTTTAATATTTGCGGCAACATTTTTATGTCGTTTAACAGCTCCATTAAGTTATAATTTTCTTGGTATGATACATATGGATCAAGTTATTACAAAAAAAACTGATAGACAAGAAACTGTTTTTACAACAGTAAAGAATTTTCCATAAAATAAAAGATAATATTGAAATAGTTTTTTTTCTCTTATTTAGATTATGGGTCGTATGAGCGTCATTCCAATGATTTCCAGAGGTTTTAATTTTTATTTTCCAATGTTAATATGTTTATTATGTGTTGGCACATATTTTCGATTTGGTTCTCGATGTTTACATATATTTGGCGTAAGACAATTCTTTGATGATGATTATGTATCAGCTGAATATGTTGAAGATGGAAAAAATTTAATGAAAAAAGGTTGAATTTTTAAAGAAAATTTTTTTCTGTGAAACAATAAGTTGAAATATTTAGAACGAAGAAATTTAGGTGGCATTGATAATGTAACAACAATGGCTAATACAACGACAGCTACCCAACGAAGAGATAGACGAAAAGAATTAGAAGAAAAATATGGTTTACGATCAACATCAGCAAATAATAAATCAAAATTACCAAGTGATGATTTAGAAGAGATTATATCAGGTTAGATTTTATATTTAAATTATAAATTGCATATTAATCGTTCATTGTTTATTATAGAAAGTCGTCAATTAAAAGCATCATCATCAAGTTCGGATGAACCATTGATAATGAATAATAACAATCATAATCAACGTGTTCCTTCGAATGCACCAACTGCATTAGGTAAACTATTTTTCTACCATAGAGAAAACTATATGGAGATTGAAAACAAAGGGTTAATCAAGTGCAAAAATGATTATATATTTGTTTAGATATCATTTTACATAGATTTTGAGAGAACATTAATTAGTATTATAATTCTCTTGCAATATTTGATTTCATAGAAAATTGAATATGGAATTTCTCGAAAATATTCGATGAATAAGATAAAGTTTAGGATTGATTGTCTATGTCTTCTATATAAAGATTATCTTTCAATATGCATACATACACACACAGACATTCATATTATTCATTGCTAAACAAAAAGATTTGCTTGCTAAACGTCGAAAGGAAAAGTATCGAAAATGAAAAATCTCAGAAAGGAGAAAATATTGAAAATACTCATATGTCGTCATTGACCAGTATCGATGTTTGTCGTAATCATTTTTTTCGTATTTTCTTTCGGCTTCTTCTGAAATCGTTTCGTCGACCAGTCAGGCTGTGGGTTACGAGACGATAAATACCCACACCCATTGAAATCAAATATTTCATTATCAACATCAAACACGATTTTTTTATTCAGTCGACATTTTTCCCATACGACATTTAGCATACATACCAATAAAAAAAGCATTCCTTTTGTAATAGATCGAAATTATATCAGTAAATATTTTTTGACTTTCTTCACATAAGTATTTCTATGAAGAAAGAATAACAAATCTCAATAGAAAAAGACTTGCCTTCTTAATTTATATTAATAAAATATTCTCTATTTTAGGATCTTCGCGTCGAGTAGCACCGCCTACCAATATATTCAACGATATCTAAAATATATTGATTGTTTGTCATTCTATAGTGTTTAATCTCTATTAATGTCGTATTTTTATTTATTATATTTAACTATAGTTATTAACTCATTTTCGTTTTTTTGTCTTCAGCATTTCTCATCATTATATGAATTGTATTTATTTTATGTTGTATTTTTGTCTTTTTCAGATGGATAATTCACAAAATAATCAAACAAATAAGAATTTAAATGAATTACGTGCTGATGTTACAGCAACAACAGATGCTTTAAAAGTAACTGTTGAGAAATTGGTTCAACGTGGAGAAAATTTAGATGTATTAAATAATCGAGCAGAAGATTTAAGTTCAACATCATATCATTTTCGTGGTACAGCACGACGTGTTAATCGACAGATGAGATGGCAAAATTATAAATTAACTATTTTTATTGGTAAATTTTGTTCTTTACAAATTTTTTTAAAATTCTATTGGTTAATCTCTTCTAGTTTTTGTTATTGTTTGTATACTGGCTTTGATTATATTAATGGCTCTTCATCCATGGAAAAAGTGATCTGATGGTGGTGGTTATATATATATATGTATATTGTTTGTATATAAGATGGTTGATCTAGTAGAGATATGGGATAGTTTTTTATTCTTATTTTTCATCGATCTATTTGTATATGTAACAGTGCTATTTTATTTTATTTTGAATAAATATTAAACAAGAAGAAAGATTCTTATAAACAGTGAAAAAAATAAATTGTTATAGATAGAACTTATTGGTAATGAACTATTCGAAGAATTTTTAATATTAATATTTTATCTTTTTCGTCTGTTTTTTTATTGTAAACATTAATTATTGAAAATATTTGATAACAATGAAAATAGATATTTTTTGAATGTTACATTAAGCAAATAAAAATTGTTAAGATTTGTTCTTAAAAACCATTTTATAGTTTAGTTCTAATAGTTATCTCTGACACTTATTGATTCATTAGTGTGCTTACGTCAAAAATGAAAATCTTATAAATCCACATAATAACAAGTAGCAATTGTACAAGCAGTATTAGTTAAAAAAAATAAATGAAAATTGTCAAACAATTACGAAAAGTTGTCAACGTTAACGTACAACTAGATAATGTCAAAATTTGTATAAAGAAGCAAGTATATCATTAATATGATGAAGTGAACGATTATCTACATAAAACCTGGATATTAATCAGTGCCCAAAAGCTAAAATATCTTAAAAAATGACAGGACATTATTTTAATAAATGTATTCTTACAGAAACTTTTATAATGTGCTAATAGCTTTAAAAATTTCTTTTTCTTCTAGTTAGAGGGTATAGGTATGTTATATTCATCACACACTAACTATCACTCTTACCCTGAAGTCAGAGGCGGCACTCTACTTTGTACAGTTTGATTAGCTGATTTCAGTGAGATGAAGTTTTAAAACTTAAACATGTATGAAATAAATGTATTATATTAACACACCTACAAGCACATCTTCAAGATTTAATTATACAGCTTGAAATATTCAATAAATTGGAAGTTTTCCATGTTAATCATTTAGTCTGATTATTAAGAAAATTAAAAAAATGGCCAGATATCTAATCGACAGTCTTTGAAAGAAAGATTTGATAAGTATATCGAATTAGATTATTTTATTTTGAGCGCGGCATATATATTAAATGGCTAGTGAAAATAATATTTCAACAATTCATCTAACCGTGCGTAATGAATTATTTGAATTGTCATCATCGTTATTTCGTCAACTTATTGAATATTCATCAAATTTTGATTTAACTATTTCTATTCCAGATAAACAACATAAAATTTATATCGATGTTGATCCATGTATTTTTAATTCTTATCTACTTTTTATTCAATCCGGTTGTTTTATTCGACCTGATCATTTATCTCAAGAAGATTTGATTAATGGATTACGTACATGTGGTGCACCAAATATTTTACTTAATCATTATGAACATTGTGATTTAATGTCAAGTCTTTCTCTACATCAATATTCATATCATTCAATAAATAAAATAAAATTTACTCGACAAACATGGTTGAGTTTATTAATTCTAAGTGAGCTCTTTATTTCCACATGTATTTTAACAATTGATCTCTATCGGCAAATATTAATATTTAATAAAAATTCATTTCAAGAAACATCAAAAATATTAATTACTCTGACATATGTAATTGATGGAATATTATTTTTCTATTCAAGTGTACATTGTATTTTAAAATTTCGAAAAGGAATACAATTCAATAAAGATTTTAATTTTTTTGTCGATATTATTTCATGTTTAGGTATATTATGTTATTTCACAATCCAACGTCCAATTACAAATATTTCTTTATCTTATTGGAATTCATTATGGATTTTTATTCATCTATGTCGTTCCATTCGTTTATTACAAATAGGTTATCGTTTAATAGATATTCAATGGTGTTTATATGCTATTAGTCAATGTTTATGGACATTTTTTCAAACAATAATTGCACTTTTTTGGATATTTATTTTTTCCGGTTCAATTTTATATCTAATGGATATTATAGAAAATAATCAACAATATTTAAATATTTATTCAGCAATTCTTTCTGCACATGAAACATTATATACAATTGGATATAGAAATAATGCACCATACGGACGTTTGACACGTTTATGGACAATTTTAAGTATTTATTATTTATCATCACTTGTACAAATACTTTGTTGGTGGTTTCAAACAAAAGTTACAATTCAATGGAAAAAATTACTAGATAATGAAAAACAGAAACTATATGATGAATATATCATTGATTTGAAATGAAAAGAAGAAGAGTTTTTTAATTTCTTTAAGATTTTTCTATAATGAATTCATATAGTTTAGTCATCTGCATGTTCTTTCTTCAACATTCTCACGCAATTCTTTTGTTCATTTGAAGTAATTACGGGAAGGTGTGCGTGCATATTTGAAATTTAATGCTTCTAAGTAGTTCTTGTCGCGTCACCGAAGACGTTAGACTATATAGTGTCAGTGCTGATAATGATTTGTGCATGTTAGCTAATCCATACGGTGCCAAATGACAGGAAATAGAAATAGAACAGGAACAAGATTTGTTCATTATGTGAATTAAAATATACTATATACTCATATAGATGTTTCACTTGAAGAGTTCTCTTGCCTTTTTCTTTCCTTCATAGATAAAGAATAATTCATTTAACTCTTATAGTTTTCTATGATTGACAAGAAACAATAGTTCACATATGCACCACTTTTTTTTCTTTTTTCACTTTCCTTTAACAAATATAGAATGACTACTTTATTGGATTGCAACATTGAAAGGTCATTTGTGTTTCTTATCTAGAATCATACTTTCACTTTTCAGTTTTCTCTTTTAATAAATTCTCGTCAGCGCAATTTTCTTTTTCTTATATAAAGAGAAAAAAAAGGAAGGAAAGAAAACGAAGCATACTCCTACGTTCATAGTAACACACGGAAAAGGAAAAAATGAGCTGTTCGACCGTAAAAAGATAATGTCTTTATCTCATCTTACTCTTACCATCTTTTTTTTTTCGCCTCGTCATTCTCGTTGTTTTTTCTTTCCATAGAAAGAAAAGTCAAAAGTTAAAAAGAAAAATCAAAGATAGAAAATCTACATCGATTTAAACAAGTAAGTATAGTTAATTATTTCTAATATGTAACAAGGGACAAATTAATCTTACATTAAGTAAGATAATAGTAAAAGTTTATTGAAATCTCATTTCTTTTGTCGTCTATTTACGGTGTATTTTATCTTAATTTTCTTTCTTTTGTCTTGTTAAAATAGAAGCAAAAAAAAAAAGAGGTGATGATGAAAAAAGAAAAAATTCATTTCTCCACATACACACATGTTGTCGTTAAGAACATATAAACGAGAATAGCTGTTGTGAGATATAGTGACTGACTGTAAACGAAGGAACACAAGCAGAACGGAAGAAACTTTTCTCGTCTTTTTTTTGACTACAAAATCAACTTAAATTCTATCGTGCATTTGTATATGTAAAGTCTTGACGACAACTACAACATTATCATCATCATCATCATCATCATTATTAGTACCTTATTATTATGATTGATATTGAACAGGTAAGCTAAAAAATCTGATTAGATTTTTATTTAAATAAAAATCTATATTCTTCTTCTTCTTCTTAAAATAACAATACTAAGTTAAACAAAAGACATCTCTTTGTATAATGGACTTGTATTGTCTCATATTGAATTGACTAATGGAAAGTGGATCCTTGTTTTTTCAACTAGTGCTGCTCTTTCAAGTACCTGAAAGAGAAAGAAACGTTAGAGGCAATGTCTATTGTCTTCACTAAGAGTGTAAACAAAATTCTTCTCTCTTATTTAAATATAGAAGAAGAAGAAGAAAAAAAAGGGGGAAGATACATAAAGGTATGTTATTCTTTCACACAACGAATATTCTGTTAATGACTTATAAGAGAACAGTTGTCTGTTTTAATTAGCTCACCTGTTCAATATCATCGATCTTTTAAAAGATATACATTAATTAGTACCGGTAAAATGATTTTCAAATCAGATAATGAATACCATCTTGTTTTATTGTTCTATCTCATCAGTCGTCTCTTTTTTTTATTTCAATTGACTCACCATCATCTCCTAGACATATTATTTCTTCGAAGAAAAAAAAAGATAAAGGTATATTCGTTCTTTCTCGCTTTTCTTCTTTTTTTTCTTCTTGATGTTGTTAAGTGAACTAGTGAGAAGATAAGACATAAGTGGAATCTTGTCATTATGATCATATATCTTCAAATGATAAAATATGTCTATGAAGTACTCAACTTATTTTTTTATTTGATTTTTAGATTTATTCTTGGTATGTTTGTCGTCTTTATTGATCGTCATGTTAATTATGACGACAATAACACATCAACAAATGAAACGATATTATATTGATCAAAATTTAACTTTTCCTATTCCAAAAAATTTCAAACGATTAAGAGATTGTTCTTCTAAACATGATTGGACGGTAGAATCAAGAAAAAAACTTAAAAAACAAGAAGAAGAACACCACCACCACCAACAACAATATCATTGTCAAGTTTATTTAAATTTATTTCCATCAACATTAAAATGTTCAATTGATGTTATTGTTAAATCGATAGATAAATCTATCGATGACTATAATGATAATAATTCAATTTTAATAGGAAAATCACGAATAGCAAAAATGATTAAACCAGGTGTTATTCGTGTTCGTCTAGTTTCATCTTTATTTGATGCAGATACTGATGTACATGAAGATGTATCTCTTATTAAACTTGAAACAATTCAAAATCAACCTTATATTAATCATTTCGATAAACAATTTGCTCTTATATTAAAAGTAAAATAGAAAAAAAAAACAATTTTTCTCTTATCGAAAATAAATCTATATTTTCTATTAATTAGAATAATCGAATTGGTCCTGGTGTTATTGGAAAATTATTTATTGAATCCTTAGATCCATCGAATGGATCATATACAAATAATCCACCTATATTTGAACTCAATCTTAATTTAACATCAGAACATGAAATTCTATTGACTTCATCACATCAGGTGGGTGATTCACATTATTTGTATATGCACGCATTTAATGAAGTTGAAATGAGCATATTGTTCTTTCTCAGATTGATATATGAGAAAACTGTGAAAGAATGATGATCATATGTCAATATTCATACATAGAAAATGAAGAAAAAAAAAGAAAGAAATGAAGCTGTATCAATAGCATATTTATTGAGAATGAAGAAAAATATATATATGTTATTTGCATAATTTATTGCTAAAGAAATCAAACTGTCTACTTCAGATGCTGATAGAAAAGAAAAGAAAAGATTATATCATATCATGCGTATATTAAAATGAAATGACAAGATTAAATAGAATAGAAAAAAATGTCATTTTGAAGAAGACTATTTTATTGTTTATATAATAATATTGTTTTTTCTTTTCTTATAGAAAATTCATGATAATGTACCTTTACAATGTGGTTGTATTCTTTCTCCTGATCCATCTTGCTTAATTATTAGTGACAAATGCAATGTAAAATAAAATTGATTTTTTTTGTTTTAAATTTCAATTTTTGTTTTTTAGTTGACATTGGAGAATGAGAAACTTATTCATCGTTTATCTGATCCTCTTCGTTGTTTATGGAAGTCAATTGGTCGTGAATTATCGCCATGTTTTTCTGAAATTGATCTAAATGAATTAAATCAAAGATATTTCTTAATCGAAGGAAATTATGAATGTACTTATCAATTATTACGATTATGGCATGAACGTGATCCTCATCAAGCAAATATACGTTTTCTATTGACTCGATTGAAACTTCCTTGTCAAATTATTAAAACAATTCACAATGATATTGTGAGAACATTTTCTACTTGATATACGAAATAGAAAATTTTGTATAAGCATACTTTATACATTCCATTTCATTTTTGTACAGTCGTTTTAGTGTTTTTCTTTTCTTTCTTTTTTCGTTTTATTTGAGGCGTGTGAACTGTTTTCTTTTGTCTATGTGTTCTTTTTGAATGTTTTCCTTGTCGCTAGCCGTCCAAAGGTGCCAGCCGATTGTAACAAAGAATGAAAAAAAA